TCAAACCAACAAAGAGTATATATGTTAACAACACTTGCTCAAACTTACCAATAACAAATGGTTGTTTATGCACACTTTCAGCACGTGGATGCAGGTAGGCAACATCTCGCATATATCTCTCTAGCCATAAAATGTCGAAACCAAAACCCTACTGCACGTCTATCTCTATCTGTGGGAGGTAGAAACTGTTTACCTCCTGTTGTCATACGTTCCAAGCACATGCATACAAGAGGACCACAATCCCCTCTGGGTCCCACTGCGTTTATTTTGGCACTGTCTCGTCTCTCATCATTGTAACTTTTAACTTATTTGGCTTCTTGTTTCCTGAATTAGTCCAATAATCAATCGCATCCAAGTATTTAGCCAAATGATCGCTCCATCCCCTACAAATAATATCTTTCAAATCAGACAATGGTATGTAATTCAACATATTGTCATATTTTTCGTCTTCAGGGATGGGAGCTAAAGCTTGACGAGAAGCCAATGACGACGTTCCATAACAGGGATAAACACCTGGAATCATAAATAATAATTCAATTGCGCACATCAAATAAAATTTATGAACACCTTTAAATATGCAAAAAAAATACTAACCTTATCGACCTCCCACCACGCAGGATAAAGGATAGCTTTTCCGTTACCCAACGCATATTAAGCATATCTCTGATCCTTTAAGTGAGCTGCGTGAAAAGACGAAGGCATAATAGTCCATCGCGTCTTTTTTATTTTCTTCAATTTCCTTATAATCAGAAGACGTGACACCCATGCATCAATATGTTGTTTTATAAAAAAATACATATATTAGTGAATTTAATAAATTTTAAAAAAATAATCAAAATGCAATATAAGAAGAATATAAGATTTACCCCCCATTCAAAATAGCCATTCTCTTTAACCCCTAATAAAACACCCCACCAAGACCGCTCAAGAAACAAATGTATATTATCGTCGATTTTGCATATGTCAGCGTAGCACCCCTGGCTCCGCTCATGTAAATAAAAATCAACCGCGGTCTTAGTCCAAAGAGTATTATCCATAATTATGTCCGGTAGTATTCTCCTCTCGTGTTGAGGAATGATACTGGCCGATAACTGATACGAAAACCAACTCTGATCCATCATACCGGGCACGAGAAGGGGTTTATCAATATGTTGACATAGTATGCCATGTGAATCGGGCTCTTGAACGGAGGAAGGGGCCTCTTGAACGATGAGAGGGGCCTCTTGATGAGAGGGACCTCTTGAACGATAGGAGGGGCCTCTTGAACGATGACATGTGAATCGGGCTTCTTCTTACGCAGTCTTGGAACTATTGGGGTGAAAGGAGATGTAATGGAACGTCCACAACGTCTGATGCGTGAACCCCGTCGTGCAAGAAAAACCCGACGTAAAGCATCTACCTTATCGGGTCGCTAAAAATAAATTAATACATAAATCAGTAAATAAATAAATAAATAATGTTGAAAAAATGTTATTTTCATTTTTAGTATAGTATTAAACAAACTTACCTCATTGCGTAGAGTATGAACCTCATTCTGCAACGATGAAATAATCTCACGTAGAGCGGCTACCTCATCACGTAAAGTAGATACCTCACCACGTAAAACACCACTGTCATCGCATAAAACAGCTACCTCACCACGTAAAGACCGTACCTCATCACGCCATGCACCATTTTCGTCACGTAAAGTACCGACCTCATCACGTAAAGCACTGACCTCATCACGTAACTACCCTGACTCATCCCGTGGAGGTGGAGAACGGGGAGATAAATGTTGTGGCATCTTTGCTGGTCGCCTATCATGAGGTGATGGTGGAGAAGAGGCTCGATGATGTGATGGAATAGGTAATGGCTCTCGGTGTGGAGGCGTATAATCGGCTCGATCAGGTAATGGCTCTCGGTGTCGAGCTGTAGAATCGACTCGATCAGGTGATGGCTCTCGAAGTGGGGGGTGCTCATCATTCGTCCCATCAAAAAAATGCCTACTAGCTTGCCACCAATCAGTGGCAAGCTCAGCCTCTGTGGGTGTCAGCCTCTGTAATGGATAGTTTGCCTCCTAACAATATAAAAGCTCAAACAAAGTCAAACGTCTACTAGTAATAACTTGTTTATATATGGTAGTATTTGTGTTAACTTACATCATTCATCGTCGTATAAGGTAGTAAATCTTCCTAATCCAACAGCCAGATCCTCCTCTAAGTAATAGCCCTAGGAATATCATTTGACTTTTTGATGGCATATGTCTGCATGCTGGGAAAAGCCTCAAATATCTAAATCTACAAACAATATAATACACAAACATTAATTTTAGTAATTGTTAAATAATTAATTATAATTTTGGAAATATTATATAGAAATTCTTACTTTAAAGGACCAAATAAAGCCTACCAAAGTGTATTTGGAACCATGACCACGCAAACTACGACGGTCCTCAAAGGCAGACGACAACTTTTTCCAGGTAGCTTTTCATAGATATGAATCCCACGGAAACACGTTCCATGCATCTAGGTCCTCTACCAATAATATTAAATCCTCATAAATAGGTTGTATGTCCTCTTTGCCTAAAAAAGCCGGTATTCAAAAGTAATAAAAGGCATACTCTGAAAACATCAAGGTTATCCATCCGAGTAAAACAATCTTTAAGAAGTAATCTTTTCAAATCGTCGACGTGTAAACGGGGCTTCGCCATTGCCAGCTTAGGAAAAACCCAAAATAACCATGATGGGCGGGTAATATGACTACTGTACCGACCTACTTCATCGTATCGTCCGAAACGTAGACCAATGATTAAGAAAAACTCCTCCCGCCCAAAACAAGTATACGCCGGTGGAAAATGAAACAATATCTCTTCATCACTACGTTGTATCCTCTCGGGTAGATCGTTGAATAAACAAATGGGTCAACATAGCATCTCCACTTGGATGTTGTACTTTCAGCCATGGCCCGAAACAAGTTTTCTCAAACAAATTTCTTTGTACAGGTGTAAGTGCCGACGCAATTGTAGTGGCTATGTTTAATTTATTCCTTAAAGTCAATGAAGCCAAAAAAATCCTAACAAAAACAATAAACATACCAAGTTAGATATACCAAAAACTACAAATTATACACTATAAACATACATGATATTAAACAGGGAAAATATAGCCAAATATGTTTCAAACTAGCACGGTATTCACCCAAGTCATTATTCTATCATAGTTCACAAAATGCATCAGATAACATTCCAGAAGTAAGCACTTATATAAACATTTAAAAGGATAACATATAGGTTTAGTGCAGGTTCAAGGACAACATAAAGAGTAGTAGTTTATTCTTGAAACTTAAATTCGCAACACTGTGAAGTTAGTATTTGTCTTTGTTTTTTGGTTGAAGTAATGCAATTCATTCAAGTTTCAATTTGCAGAAGAAGAGTAGTTTTTGAAATCGCGTTGCGATTTTCATTTTCGCGTTGCGAATTTCATTTTCGCGTTGCGAATTTCATTTTCGCGTTGCGAATTTCATTTTGGCGTTGCGAATTTAAGTTTCAAAAACTCTTCTTCTGCAAATTAAAACTTGAATGAATTGCATTACTTCAACCAAAATACTAACTTCGCAGGGTTAAAGACTAAATAGTTTAGCAGTATTGGCAGAAACCAAATGAATTTACTAAGCAATCTAAGTGAAATGATTAATCTATATATTGAAATTATTAGTAAATTTATCATCAATTTAAATATGAAAAATCTAATAATAATACAAAAATTTAAAATAAAAATAATTAAAAAAACTAACCCTCGGTGGTTGATTTTCTATTTGTGGCCGTGAATGGTTGTGAGAGGGTGGCTCTGAGAGATGGAGATAGAGGGGGTCGCCAGATATGGGGACGGATGTCGCCGAAGATGGGGACGGATGTCGCCGTAGAGAGTGAGAGATAGAGATGGGACTGAGTTGTGATTTAGGGTTTTAAGTTATGAGTTGCGATTATATTGTTTACATTTCTATTGCGAAATTAATATTGTGTTTTGAATTCGAAAATAAAATTTACGTTGCGAAAATAAACACGCTTTGCGAATTTTCACGTTGCGAATTTTCACGTTGCGAATTTGGAAAATCGCATTGCGGAAAAGAAATTTGAGTTGCGAATTTAGAAACTGTGTTGTGAAATTGGAGTTTGCGTTGCGAATTTATTGATCATTTTCGCAAATCAAAAAAAAATTTGGTTAAAATCGTATATTATAAGGTATTTTTGGTCACTCAAATTATTTTTATTTTTTTTAAATGTACGAGAACTCTGATGACTTTTTGCTAAAGAAAGAAGAAAGAATGCAATTTTTACTATTGATAAACATTAGGTTTTTGTAACCAATCATTGAGTCAAACAAAGGGGCCATTAATGAAAAACAAGTGAACACCGTGTTGTACTTCTGTACCGTTGTCAGATGTTAGACAAACAGAGGTGTTTATATCAGTTTATCAAATGCATGGGGACATTATTAGAGGTACGCTTTGATTTGTAGCCATGAAATACTTTTCTATTAGATTTTTGTAAACGATATTAATAAAAAAAAGTATTTAACTTAATTTTATCGACATTCAAAAATGAGAAAAGAAAAAGTTCACTCTAAATATAAATATAACAAATTATATACAAAACATTTCTTAAATTTCACGAACGTGATATATTTCCAAAATTATTTTAACATCCCTATAAAATTATATCTCAAAAAGAGACTCACTGAAAATGTATTTATCTAATAATTCTAAAGGTTAAAATATAATTTATACGTATAAAAAATCAAATAATTTTAATCATTAAATAATTAAGTGATTTACACTAAAATTTTAGTTATTAGAATTTAGCTTTTATCCATGTGATAGTTATTCATTTGCATGAAGTGTAAGAAAACGACATAACACGGAACTAAACACGTCCCCTGTTAACGGCAGAAAGATATGTTTTGTTCACTTCAGAATAGATCGAAGATGTATTTTTATCCCAAAAGTCGAGTCGTACAAGACGGGTGAAACCTCCCAATACTCGGACCGGGTCCGGTAAAAGGGTAATAACGATCAAAATCGGGTTAACGATCGTGTAACCTCCCTATTCCCACATTCTGGTTCTAGGGATTAATACAAAGAATAAACGGAAAAGGACCAGCACTATATAATACTTTCCTTATTAACCATCAGCAAGTTCACAACCACTTGGCTATTTTACTCCTCATGGAACAACGTTATACATAATATAGAATGAGATAACCTCTTTGATAAATAGTGCCTTCAAACTGTCTGCTTCCTCACAAATCCATTGCCAGGATCATCACTAGAAGGGAAAACTTCAAGCCCTGTGACCATGGCAGCTTGTGGACCACGTCGGCACCTCTTCTCCATTTCTTGGACGGACTCGGGATACCCGGAGAAAAGAGCTTCCACCGAACCATCCCTCCTGTTCCTAACCCAACCTTTCAGCCCTAATTGAGTAGCATTCTCTATTGTCCAGTTCCTATAAAACACACCTTGAACCCTACCCTTTATCACTACCCTTACCTGCATCACAAAAATCCTCAATTCATCGAAAGTAAAACATAAAGAGATTGAAACCCCAAATGATATGCGACATAAAACCCTACATGGAACAAACTAATTTAATTAACCTACACAAAATTCCAAAGGTACTGTATCGTAAATCCCAAGGATGTAAATGCATAACTCATTCGATGAACATCTCGGTTTTTCTTGTTTATCTAGCTGAATAAATGAGCATGAATAAGATTTTGAGGTTTGTTTAAAACAAGTCAGGTACACTTTATCTATGTTCATGAACAAGCTTGATTAGGTTTGTTTAAAGCTCATTTCTCGTTATTATTGTTTATGTGCTTTTTTATTTGTTTACAATATAATCATTAATATTTATGTTTGATTATTTTATATCTAAAAATTAAGAAATATGTTTATTTATGGTTTTGTTAGCTATTCATGAACATTTTATTTTTAACTGTTTGTGAACATGTTAAATTAAATCATTATGTCTGTATACATATTTGCTTAATGTGCACAAGCATATTTATTTAATGTTCACGAACAATCTCATTTAATTTCAACGAAATAACATGAACAATAAATGACCATAAGCCCAATTTTGAAATTTTAAACAAACACAAACTAAACAAAAACACGCTTAAAAACAAACAAACATGAACAAAAATCCACTCATTCAAGCTCAATTCATGTAAAACCTTAATTAATCCAAATCTGAATTTTTGAACGAACAACCAAAACAACTGGCATAAACCTAAACATATTAGTACACCACATAGAGACATTCAAAAACCTAAGATGCACCAACAAAGATGAGATGGTTTGGTGGTTGTGTGATCTTGGTGTTGTGTGTGTGTTGTGTTGGGGTTTTTTTTTTTTGGGGTGGGGGGGTGGGGGGAATTCTATATCTTGATGAAATGGGAACCCGGAATGCAAAATCTAAAATTCAGTATGCAGAAGCCGCCAAGGTAGATGCATTTGGGGAATTTTCCTTTCCAGATTTACTGTAGGAAGGGTTTGAGTTACATAGCTAGTGCGCCGGGCATTACATTGATAGAAAACTGCAAACAAGGAGAGACTGGCTTACGCCAAAATATGTGTTGATACTGATGTTGGCTTAGACATTCCTAGATCAATAGTTTTTGAGCTTAGATATGGCACACTTGTCTCAATTTAGGTGGAGATTCCATGGGTTGCACCAAAAAGCTTAACATGCAACACTTTTGGGAAATCATGGAAAAATTATCCATGCAAGACAGCCAAAGTTAACACTAATGTTTGGGCTCCTAATCAGACGGAGAGGATTGTGGCTTAGCAAAAATAAATGGAAATTCAGAATAATGCAGTAATTGGCTTTCCAATAGGAACTCCTATTGGATTGACCTTATCAGTAGGGAATGAGAGGAGCACTTGCTTGGAAAGCTCGACCAAAAATTTTCTATGCTGGAGCTAATTGTGGAACATAATGAGGGAATGCCTGTTAAGGAACAGGAAGCTTTGCCTGACATTCCTGCATATGATTCACCAAGTAAAACCAGAGATGCAGCTACAAGTGTTGGCGAATTGATGAAGAAAATGACGAATAAGAAAAAGGTGTCTGACACCAAGAAAGTAAAGTTACAATCTTCAACCTTAGGAGGTATTGGTCTCAAACTTATGAATATTCTTGTTTGGAATATCAGAACACGGGTAGTTAGATCAGAGAATTACATGTTGATATAGCATGCATAATAGAGATTAGATTTAAAGTTCCCAAATTGCACCTTATTATTGCAAAGCATTTCAATGGTTGTCACATAATACTCGGAAGCTATTAAAGGAAGAATACGGTTCTTCTCTAAATACTCCTTAACTATCGATAACTTGTCACATGAAGGTGACTCAAGGAACCGTGGTTTTTTTTCTTTAAAACAATATATGGGTCGAATAATAGGATAGATAGAAGAAGATTATGGCTGGGGATTAGTGAGGAAGCGTAGAATCCTGGTTGGGGATTTCAGTTTCATTACTAGTCTACTGGAGTGCTCAAGCTTTGCTGGCATCAAAAGTAGTACTTCTGATATGAGGGACTCCAATGTGACCTAGATCAGACCTCACTGGAAAACCACACTTTTGTAGATCATTAAGCTGACCATTTAGAAAGAAACTTGACCAGGTGCTTTTTAATAGTTGATGGTCAGTATCCTACATTCTTATGGCGAGTTTATAGAACTAGCTGTTCCAGATCTTGTGCAGCATTAATAAAAACTATAATGGCCTCGGCATGAAATTTATTCAAATTGTGGAGAGCTCTTCGAAGCAGACAACTTCAATGAATCCAATGACTATTTTGCATGTCAATTTGAACAGGTTCAAGCAAGGGTTATGGCAGTTTAATCAGTCCCTCTTCGAAGCTATTTTTTATAGAGTTAAAACTAAAAGGAAGGGACAGGAAGAAGTTCAGCTTTCTTTACTTCGAAGTCCAGCCAACACAGGGTTGATGAAAGCTGAGATGCAACTCACACAAGAACTTCAAGTTGTTGCTAAAGGGTAAAGAGAGTTTACACCAACAAAAGTCAAGAATAAGATGGCTGCAAAAAGGTGACCACCGAACATAATACAGGTTACTTTCATAGGATGGTACAAGTTCAGAAAAGTAGGAATTCAATCAAAGGTACTTCTGGATGATGCTGGGAATAGGTTGGAATCCTTTGACTAGATCCCAACTGAAGCAGTTCTGTGGAGTAAGATTAGACCAAGGCAAGAGAAGGTAATCTGGCATAAGTTCACCCCCAAACACTCAATAATAGCCTTAAATATAGTTCTTACCGGACTACCAATAAAGAACAGACTGGTTCAAGGGGGATGAAAACCGATGAGGACTGTTTGTTGTGCGAGGAGTCTAGGAATCAAATGTTCTTCCACTGCAGATGCTCCGAGAAGATATAGAAGCTGGTTTTGACATTATGTGGAATTCAGTGAGAGATAGAGAGATCGGGACAGGAATTACAGTGGGATGTAAGAAATGGCTAGGGAAAATGTTTACTCTGCATGGACATAGCATGGAAAGTTTTCCTTTACTGTGCATGGAGCAAACGCAAGAACCGGCTTTTTCATCAAATTGAACTAGACGAGAATATGCCACTGGAGAAAATTAGAGAAGTGATTTCCTTGGACAACAACTTTAAAGAGACCACTGCAAACACAATTCTTTGTAGAACTGGAAGATTAATCTTGCAATTTTGCTTATTCTTTTTGTACAGTTGTAAACATTGTCACTTAACCAGAAATAAAAAAGTGGGACTTATCGGTATATAATAGACTTCAAAAGTTTCTAATGCCTAAATTGCAGAAACAGCCGAAAGAGGTTATTATCACTACCTAAGAAGAGGCTAAAAAAAGTTGGCACAAAATAAACTCGTGATATGTAATCGCTGATTCAAGATAGAACTATAATAGCAACTCACAATTAACAGAAATTTTAAAGGGGACAATAAGTCCATTAGTAAAACTTAAACAGTCCAATTAGTTTCATCAAGATAGCCATAATCTTCACAAACAACCATGGAAGGATAAAAAGGAGTCATTTTTTCTATTAATAACATAATTCCTCTCAATAAATTAAATTTCCGTGCAAAACGATCAAAACCCAATATTTACATCTATCAATAATAGACAATCGGAATATCATATAAATTAAAAATTCAACCTTGGAAACTGATGGTTGTAAAGGGAACACTTCTTTTTCAAAAACCCAACAATGAAATCAATTAGAGCACTTCGTGGTAAGGGAGATAGAAAAGCTCACCGTTTTGGATTGGGAAGGCTGAGAGGAGTCAGTGGCAGCTTGAGAAGTGGCCATCGAAGTGAAAAAGGGTCGAAGAGAATGAAAACTGAGAGGGAGGAAAGAAGGAAGAGAAAAGCGAGAGCAAAGCGTAGGAGGAGGAGAGTTAGAATAAGAGAGAAAGGGGAATCCAGTTGCAAATTGGGACCATTTCTTTGGAATATGAAAATAAAGATTGTTGGATTCCCGAGAAATGAGGAATTTGATGCTCGTTGGATGATTGATTAAGGTTAATGGTGAACCCATTTTCGGTGTTCAATTTTTGAAATGTTTGGATTTTATAGGTGGAGAGAATTTGAAGAATTCTTCAATTCTGCTTCAGGCAGGGAAAAAGAAGCCGTAAAATAATGAAACCCTTCCCTAATTAGTTATAACGATTTTTAATTTTACCAATTTTTTTTAATAAATCTTAAATATAATCCTCCTCATATATATAAAGGAGAGAGGTGGATGGATAGTTATGATATACGACAGTTTTAATATATGGTTAAGAAAATGTTACTAAAAATATTAATATTTTTAATATTAGTTTTTATCGGAAATGTTATTTTCGCTAACTAATTTTTGATAGAACTCAAAATTAACATTTCTAGTAGAAAAAATAATATTTTAGATAGCGTTTTACCGCAAATGATAAACATTTTAAGTAACGCCTAATATTAACATTTTCGGTAAAAAAATAATATTTTAAGTAGCGCTTTATCGAAAATGTTAAAAAAATATTAACATTTCTAGTAGTGTCTTTCCTTAACCGTATATTAAGACTGTCGTATCGAAGAGATTCCCGAAATGGACTCTAGAAGACAAATAATTAAGAGAAAATAATCTCAGTGACCAAAAATGCCTTATAATATACGATTTTAACCAATTTTTTTTGTATTTGCCAAAATGACCAACTAAATCGCAATGCGATTGATAATTCGCAACGCGATCTCCGGTATCGCAAATCAGTTTCCAGATTCGCAACGCGAACTTCGACTATCGCATTGGGATTTACATATTCGCATTGCGATAGTCCAAGTTCATGCGGACGTGTCGAAGACACGTATTACCACGACCACGACCCGAGACGACCGAGACGAGACGAGACGAGACGGACGGCGGCAGCGGCGGCGCACGAGAGTCCCCCTTGTTCTCTATCACTCAACAAGGAAGTGGGAAAGCCAAGCCTTAAATACCATTCCCAATAGTGTTTCCAATACTATGTAGGATTGAGCATTACCAACACTTGTTTCCAATACAATGTGATTATTCAGGAAACAATTAACAATCATGCACCTTAAAACAACTGAATCAGCAACCAATTGCATTAGTATTATACGATTAAATATGTCATAATTAAAAGTCAATCTACAATCAATCGCGATTATTGCAATTTTAAGCAAAACATTCAAAAATAATATCACTATTTAAGGCTCAATCCCACATCATTAAAATTTTAATACTTAAGCTATCAATTTTAATTTATTTTAATACATAAACTTTTAATTTTTTTTCAAAAACTTACATTAATTTTTAACGGTACTAAAATAAAACAAAAATATTAAGTATGATTTTGAAATTAAATTAAAAATGTAAATACTAAAATGAATCAAAATTGATAATTGATGTACTAAACATAAAATTTACCCTAGTTAAAACATAAATAAATACCATATGAATAATTATCAACAGTGCAATGAAAATCCCCATTACCGTAGAAAATTGATAATTTATATATTAAACATATTATTTACCCTAGTTAAAACATAAATAAATACCATATGAATAATTACCAACAGTGCAGGGAAAATCCCCATTACCGTAGAGAAAATTTTATATATAAAAAATGAAACATACCTAAAAAATTAGAAAGTGTTAAAAGCATGTTAAGGTGTTTATCTATTGAGTTAATCACTAGTTGAGTAGTTTTAAATTTAATTTAAAAATTATTTAATTCGTATTTTTAAGTCGATAATAAGTTAAATAAAATTTTACACTCTTGTTCATTAAAATATAAATTGACCAATTGATTTATTGTTCGTTAACTTTATTATTGTTTTTAGTAAAAAAAATTAAAATCTAAATTTTAAAGTAATAATTAATAAATATATTAAAATAATGTATTACAATCAAAATAATAATTTACAAAATCAATTAAGTTAGCTTAAATAGTAAATAGTTTGATATTACTTAAGTAAGGTTTCGAGTTCGAGTATTTATATGCAAAAATCTATGTTGAAATACTCATCCACCAAAATCAGGTATACAACACGAGTCGATCCGGATTAATAAAAACGAATCTTTAAAACCGAGAGAGCAACTAAAATAATAATGACAATTTACAATTACATCAAACTAACCTATTATAACTATTCTTAAAAAATGTTTAATAATACATAATCTTAAAAATAAGACAATCATCCTAAATAATTATAAAAAAATAGCTAGTCAAATGGGGTCTTACTCCACTTACTCATTAAAATCTCTTGAATTTAAATTAAATAAACTCAAATCGAGTGTTGACTAAATCAAACTTGAGCAACTCGATTAGGTAAATATCCCTAGAAGCAGCATTAAAAATTTTGGGAAATGTTATGAATTAGGATGAAGAATTTAGGTTTCAGAAAATAATAGAAAGGAATTTAGGAGAAAATGATTTCATTCATTCATTAGAGATGATTCCAAAGGGAATCAGGTACAATTTTATATATTTACAAGTACCCAACTGGCATGTACTGGAATCTAACAAATTAACTAACTAATGCTGACTCATACAGGTCTAGAAACATTTGGGCATCTCAACAATTTACCACCCGAGGCCCAATATCCCCCAGGCCCGTGTTTTGCCTCAGCAGACCCAACTCCTTCTCTACTCCAGCCTCCACGGTAATTTGCTCCCCAATCTTCTCATTTTCTAATTCCTCCTCTTTCAAAATCCCTAACTCCTCCTCGTTCAAAATCCCTAACTGAGGTAATTTCCTTCTAATTTCCCCTTTTTCCAACCCTAATTCCTCTTCCATCATAACAATACTCCCTCCACCAGATGATCCTTGTCCCCAAGGATTGAAATCTGGAAATTGAGTCTTCAATACAAAATAATCTTCCCAAGTCGCTTCTGTTGGTCCCATATTAGTCCATTGAATCAACAACTGGGTTACTGCCTGATTTTGGCGCTTAACCATCCGTTTATTCAACACAATCGCTGGGTAAACTTTCAACTGGCCATCATTCGTGATCTCTGGAGGATCTAATGAAGGTACTTGCCATTTCCCAATTGTTCTTTTTAGCAGACTGACATGAAAAACATGATGTATTTTGGAATGCGATGGTAATTGTAACTTGTACGCCACTGACCCGATTCGTTGTTGTATTTTGTAGGGACCAAAATATCTTGCAGTAAGCTTCAAATTTTTCCTTAAAGCCAAAGAGGTTTGCCGATAGGGTTGAAGTTTCAGGTAAACCTCATCCCCCACATTAAACTCTATGTCTGTGTGATGTCTATCTGCCAACTGTTTCATGCGATTACTGGCTTTACTTAGCTGCTCCTTTAACAATATGTTTAATTGATCACGTTGTTGTATCATGTCTTGAACTGGTCCCACTTTAGATTTTTCTGTCCAAGCTAAGTTAGGAGGTTTATAACCATAAAGTGCCTCGAATGAGGTCATACCCAAGGCAGTATGGTAATTAGTATTATACCACCATTCTGCTTGAGGTAGCCATTTTAACCATGAAGATGGTGCATCTAAGGTATTGTTCCAAGCACTGATTAAGACTTTCTGTCTGTCCATCCGTTTCAGGATGATAGGCAGTACTGAAAAACGTGTTTGTCCCTAGTTGCTTTAATAATTCCTGCCAAAAGAGACTTGTAAAAGTCTTATCCCTGTCTGAAATAGCAATCTTAGGAGGTCCATGTAGCTTGTAGACTTACTCTAAATATAACTTAGCAACTTCCACTACTGTATATGGATGTGACAGTGGTAAAAAATGAGCATACTTGGTGAATTTGTCAATCACTACTAGGATACATGAATGCTTCATAGAAGATGGTAAGCCTTCTATGAAATCCATTGTAATGAATTCCCAAGCATTATTAGGAATAGGAATGGGTTGTAATAAACCTGGCTTAGCAGTATGTTCTATCTTAGTCCTTTGACAAACATCACATTGCTGCACATACTGTTGAACCATAGTTTTCAGTCTAGGCCAGAAAAAATAGGACTTAACTCTTTGATAGGTAGCTTGTATACCTGAGTGGCCTCCTATTGATGAAGCATGGAGAGCTAGAATAATTTTCTCTCTAAGGTCTCCTTTACTGCCCACATAAGCTTTATTTTTGAAATAAAAAACTCCCTTAACCAGCTTCCAATCTTCTATACTTCCTGGTTGTATAACCAAGATATGAATATTTTCTTGTGCCATTGTATCATCCTGGTAACTCTGTTCAATATCCTGCATCCAAGTAGGAGTTATAACTATTATCCCTATTTGGAAAAACTCACCAGAATCCTCTTATTGTCTAGAAAGAGCATCTGCTACTTTTTTGTGTTTGCCCTTTCTATACTATATTGTATAATCAAGTCCCAGCAGCTTAGTGAGTCCTTTCTTTTGAATAGCTATAGTTAACTTCTGCTCAAGTAGATGTTTTAATGGTTCGTGATCAATCTTGATAACAAAAGGTCCATTTTCTAAATAATGTCTCCAATGAGATACTGCCATTAAAATGGCCAAATATTCCTTTTCATAGATTGACAAATCTATGTTTTGGCCCCAGAGCCTTGCTTAAATAAGCTATAGGTCTTCCTTCTTGAGAAAGAACTGCTCCAATACCCTTTGAACTAGCATCTGTCTCCAGAAAAAAAAAATTCTCAAAATTTGGTAAAGCCAAAACTGAAGCTATGCACATTACTTGTTTCAATTCTTCAAATGTTGTCATAGCATTTAGTCAAGGGCTTACTCAACTCTCCATAACCTTTAATGAATTTTCTATAATAACCTGTCAAACCTAAGAAACCCCTCAAAGCTTTTAAATTCTTAGGCAAAGGCCATTGCTACATAGCTTTGATCTTAGCAGGATCAGTAGCCACTACCTGTGCTGAAATCAAATGCCCCAAATACTCCACTTGTGATTGCCCAAAGAAACATTTGCTCCTCTTAGCGTATAATTTATTTTCCAACAGAATGTTTAAAACCACCTTTAGATGATGTTCATGTACTGCCAAATTAGAACTGTAAACTAAAATATCATCAAAGAACACAAGGACAAATTTCCTTAAATAAGCACCAAATAAATCATTCATTAATGCTTG